ATTGTATTATTAGTTCCCCTGTGAACAGAACATTATTAACCTTTTTATAATGCAAAATACCTTCCTGCAATACTAATGACATCTATATTTTTTAGCAGTGTTTTGTATGCCTCATTACACATTTGTAGTCAAGCAAACCTCAAAATATCGCTCTGATAGTTCCAGATTAGAAACCATAGTTCGATAGCCGTCACATCTGGCAAATATCCATGAATGTCCTTTCTACAATGTGGAACACATTGAATTATTTAGAAATCATATATTTTTCAAGGGAATGGAGGTTTCAATTGCTGTAAGCTTTTAGCAGGGTCAGGTCAGTGAAGCTCCTTTTTGTTTACATACTGTATCGTGCAGCGTTTTCCATAGCCTAGTACTGTTGTGCATTCCAATTAATATAAATGTAATGTTAGAGTGTCGTGTGGTGATGCAGTAGTGCATCATTTAGTAAAGTGGATAAACAATGTTGGTCTGTCTGTCGGTCGATTCACCACTTTAATCCAGACTGAAACATTGAACTATTTTATGCATTGCCATGACGTTTTTTACTGACATGAATGTAGACCTAGGGATTCATTATAATACATTTGGTGTCTATCATCAAGTCAATATTTTAATGTATCCAAAATCAGATTATGACAAGATATTTGCTAAATAAAAGCCTTATTTGTAACTTGCTATTTCAAGTAGTCTATAATGCTAAGCTAATAGGAAATACTATTAACTGTACATTTTACCAGCTACAAATCATTGTCATTGTGACAATATTAGCATGCTGGCTGAAGTTAGCATTTAGCTGTGCCTGAATTTAGCCTCAGCGTGGCTGTAGACACCAGTCTTGCTTTATTGCACTTTGCTGAGCATCCTGTTAAACTGTGTATAAAAGTTATTGCACGTAAGACTATTTTCCAAACGTTCACAACAAACAGTATTCATATATTTTAGATGACATTAAGCTCAACGGTTGACTTTACTTATTGCTCGATCTGGTTTTATAGACCCTTTGGATACTCATAACTGTTCAATATAAAACCCATTTTGATTTCACTAGATAGCTTTCCAGGGTGTACTCAGCCTCCCAGTGCATGATGGGATAAGCTACATGCACTATTACCCTAAGGTATGGATAATGGATAGATTGTAAATGTAAAAGCAGATTAAAGCAGGTAGGGATTATCTGTAGGGTTGAGTTAGATTTAAATGTGATGACATGTCAACAGAGCAAATGCATAAAACATAAACTAAATTGAAATTCTTAGTGAGATTAATAAAGTTCACATCATTATTATAATTAAAAGTAACCGACTGATTTAGTGCTGGTGTCTTTTAATGGTGCCCAGTAGTAATGTAAAACATGTATGATTGGCAGTGTTTGCAATTTTTTCTGATTTGTAGATTGTAAAACTACCATTAAAAATGTCCATAATAATTGACAGCTGTTTCCCATTGGCACCTCATTGCAGCTCATTGCACCTCCGGCAGTAAACTTGTAAACATTGCATTTTATATGTTTAATCCACATGCTTTTAGCAAAGCAATCGTAAAGGATAATTGTAGGGAAAACTTTCATTTAGATTCCTGGCTGCAAAGCTCAAATAGATTCCCCACAAACACATGGCTGGAGGTCAGCATAAAATGATATTGTTATGCTTTAGGTATTTATAATCTGCTTAAGTGTTCGCAGAAACACATTTCTGAATTCAACTGATTTTCATGGAATTGGAAAATAAAATATTCTGTTTATATCGGTAAGGTTATATTTGTAAATACAGTCATTTTAAAACAGCATGGGGAAAAACTGTTGAAACTGGTTGGAAATAGATAACACATCGCCTTCCCCAGCAGTTTGCTTTGAATTATTAATAAACTTGAGTGAACCCGCTGCAGGTCGGGCAAAAGGAGAATTCATATTTCTGTGGTTGATGTTTTTTATTTTTGATGGTTTGGGAGCCAAGGTGAGGAAAATGTGGATGTGAAGCAGAACAGATTCACTAGGGCATATTTTTGGGGGCCTCGAAATGTGAGAGACGTATAGTATATATTAACTATTTATTATTTTTCACTTGGGGTTTTTTAAGTTTATCTAGCTGTCTCACATTTAATGCACTGTCATGCTTATCTTCATGTTATCTCTGTTCACAAAATCAAAGCGGATCAATGTTGAATGATTCATATTAAGGTTCAGCCACCCTGTGATGCATTTTAAATGTTAGCATTGCATCATGCATGGATGGGATGGATTCCTTCTGGTCTCCCAACTCAACTGATGCAGTATAATTTAATAGCCTACAAACATTTATGTCAAGCAGGTGCAGGAGGTTGAAGGTATCACCTTGCTGTTAGTCTTTCATTAAACAGACAGGGATCTGGAATAAATGATGAAATAGCTGGTGGGGATGGCGAGGCCAATTATACCAAAGCGTGTTTTTCCTCGTTTAAAGTGGGTCTCTCCAGCAAATCCCCTTTCAAATGAGGGTCACATGATGTCATATGCTAATTAAGATATATAAATAGTGCATTGTGAATGGCATTAGCCATAGTGAATAATGTGTCATAATGAGTCATGGCAAGTTATTTAAAGATAAATGCAGGTTGAAACAGGAATATGAAGAAATGTACATCATTAATTCTCACAGAATGTCCTTTCAGTCGCCATGACTTTACTGAATTCTCATTAAAGTCTTGTTTACATGATAAATATCAGGCCCTTTAAGGCTAAACTGAAGATATAAAAATTGTGTTTGTAATCAAGGACTACATTGTCGAAGCCTTGAAAGAAGGAGAACAATGAGCATCTTTGTAGGACCTATAATCACCATGTTTTACTAAATGCTTTAATGAGCAACACAAAAACCCTTGTTACTTTTGGTCTGAAAAAGAAGTGAAATATGTATGTTATAATTTGGCCAAATCTTTTTTATAAAGTGACTCACATAGTGCATCCTATAGATAAACTAATAAATGACCGCTCGAGTAATGGCAGAACATTGCCTTCCCCTGGAATAAGACACCTTATATTTCTTCCTCTTCTTAGTGTTCTCTCAATGTGTGTCATCAATCCCCTCTGTTGGCCAGTGGGCCACACTGCAACACATAATGATTCATCACATAGGACTCAATTCTATTCAATGTTTCTTTTATCTGGAAGATATTTGATCTAGATTTGACTCATCATTTCTTCATTTAATGGAGTCATTTAAAGTGACAGTGCATTTGACATGTCTTTATATGCCCCTTCTGTTCTTTCATTTCCTGGCTTGGCTTTTTGCTGTATATACTGAAGCTGCCAGCAGATGACAGATATGCTGCGACCTGCGCACTGACCCGTACACCCAGCATGCCTTGCAGCATAGAGCTGTAGGATGGCTCTGTGTGAGTGAATGTGACTTGCCCAGTGGGGTAGAGTGGGGAACAGGTGCCAACACTGTCAGCTTGTTAACACTGGCTTCTCCAGCAGAGTGCGGCACATATGCAACACATAGCCTTTGGCTATGGGACGTATGTGCAGGCATGCATACATCTCTGAAGTGAGAAATGGCGGTGTGTGTATCTGTTATTTGCACGCAGCGATGATTCTGGGACATTAAATGGGTGTTAGGGGAATTTGATGTGTTTGTCCAGTGATTATTATTAAAGAAATACAGATCTGACTGCACTGAGAAGATTAAATACATGAAATATAGCAGTTTTGTGCAGATGGTACGTGTGTAATCTTGTCAGCATCCTGTGTGCTGTACTGTTTCTAACAGCAGAGAGACTGTGTAATGTGCAAAACACAAAGCCCCTAATTTGTTGTCCAATTATACTTTTATAAGTTTTGGCATACATTTGTTTTTGAGCACATTGTTAGAGCGTTATCATGTGGCTCCGTTTTCTACATAAGCCTGGGAAGATACAGTTATGTGAAGCCCCCCTAGGGTTATGTGGAAGAAATTCTCTCAAACATCACAAATTAGGCCCCTAGATGACCCATTTCTAGAATAACTAAATTGACACAATGAATTATTCCATGCTGTCTTGTGGCCTCTATAACGAGAAGGGGACTTGGTACAGAGGATAAATTAGGACACTGAGTTCTTGCTTCTCTCATTTATTCCATCAAAGCCATTTAGGCAGATTTGCCCGTTTGCCCAATTTATTCTATGATTTCTTACCCTCTCATTATAACAATGGGGGAGAAAAGAGGAACATGGATGTGAGTTTGAAGAAATTGGCTTCTACAACTTGGATTGGAGATAATAAGACACAAGGATAACGTGTCAAAATCTATTTAATTCCGGTGTAGTTATGAGTAACTTGATATATACTTTTCATTTTGGATAGACACTCGCAGAGCTCTTCCCAAAATAAATCTCAAATAGCTCCCAGTCATGAAGCAAAAAGGGAAAAGTGAGAATGTGGTTTAGAATATAATGATGGTTCAGGGACAAAGAGGGAAGTATAAAGTGAGGTATAAAAAGAGAAGCTGCAGTAGAAGAGGAAACAAGGAAGAGCACACCTCCATATTTCAAACCATTGATGAACAGTGTCTTATTGTGACCATGCAGAATGCTTTCCCAGGCTGAACGGTGCTGTACATCAAAGACAACGCTGCAAAATGAGATGGCTTCTAACAAATACTACATTGAGCTCAACTCAAGTGTCAAATCCACAGTCTACGGGGGATATGGTTACTGTCACCTGAGGGTTAAAGCCTCCTCTCTGGTTTGATGTCTGAATATTAGGCTATTTGATATGCTGCAGCTCTTTCAAGTCAGCCTGGCATGACCAGACTGCCGGCAGATTTCCCACAAGGACTGTAACTGCTCAGCAGAGAGACAGACATCACTCTCCAGCCGCATCAAAGCCGAGCAGCTCTCCTCTCTGCCCTCTGCATCTTTCTCACAGCTGCAGAGGCTTTTCGTAGAGATGTGGCGCCTTCTAGTGGGAGGTGGAAATAATTACAATGTTGAATCTGATTTTATGTTTCAAGTGACTGTGGTTCTTTTCCATCCACAGTGACAATGGTGTTGTTTCTGATTGGGATCTCTATTGCTGTGAATAATTCATCTCATGAGAATCAAACTGCAGGTAACTGTAGAAATGTGTCTTTTTCTTTGCATTCATACAACACATGGAAAGGATCAGATATTAAAGAGAGACTTCAGTATGTACTTTAAGAAGAATAAATAAAAATTGTATTCTGCATACATATACAAAGCTAATTTATTAGTATTAATATGGCTCATTTAAATACACAGGAAAACTGCTGATACCGCCTTACTTGGTCTAGTATGACCAGTTCCTTATGGTACGGTAATACATTTTGGCAAACTTTACACGATTATTGGAGTGCAATTACAATTTAAAAAGTCAGTTTGCTGACTCTTTGCTACTCATTCTGCTGTGACACTACATTTTACTTTATAATATTATCCTTTCACATGTGGTTACAGACAGTGGTCACCATTCAGTACAATTACAAAGTATTGCTTCAAAGGAATAGTTTCCATTCTGGGAAATCCACTCAGTCTTTGCTTTCTTGCAATGACTGAGATGAATTTTTTTTATAAATAGATTACCGCAAGTTAGCTTAGCACGGAGATTGGAAACACGGGATACGGTTAGCCTTACTGCGTAGGGAGAAAATCTACTTCTCAGCACCTCTAGATCTCACAAAATAAAAATGCTTGAAATTGAATGTACAGATACAGTGTAGCAAGAAAAAAACAGTATATGCACTTCCCATCAAACTTATCCTTTGCATATCAACAAGTTTACATTGTCTTTCATTAAATTATACTGACGACTTAGTGTTCTATCCAGAAAACCCCACCCACCAGGGGGCTCATGTGCTGCCCTCGACACTCATCATATCCCTGCTTCTTATCATCGTTGTCCTGCTGACTATATACTGTCTCAGGTGAGTAAAGAAACAGATCTGGCTATTTTAGTTTGGAGTGAGTCTGTGCCTTCTCTCCTCTCTCTCTCTGTCTCTGTCCCTTTAAGCATGTCTGTGTGAGTGTGTGTCGGGTTAAAACTTCAGGACGGGGGTGGTAGGGGAACATGCGGTGAGCATTGGCTTATGGGTAAACAGCTGCTTCTCAAGTAAGCCAGCAAACAACAACAGCTAGGTCAGGTCGGGTCAGACTCATTCACTGATCAGCCGGCTCAGAGCTCTTTTCCTGACGGAGACATGAGGAGGAACAGCTTTGCCTCTCTCACGTGGTTGATATTGGTTTTAGTATTTGTTGTTTGCTTACTTTATGTGCTCACCAGCTATGTTCTAGTAATTGGGGTTCACTTGTTTTTGCTTTCCTAATAGAGATGTCTGCCCTTTATCTTCTCTGAGGCTTTTTTCTTTCCCTGCTTCTCTCTGTGTGATTACTACAGGTTCAAAAACCACAGGAAAGCTCTCGTTACCTCGGTGGACAAAAAAATACCAAATGGCTTCTTGGAGGAACAAGGTAACATTGTGTTGTACTCAATATAACCACCAAGTGCTTGAAAATATAATACAGCCTTTTACTTTTTATTTCTTTTTAGTTTTAAGTGTAGCTTTACATTCTTTATGGACTAGGAAAGTTTTACGATCTGAAGTCCAAGGAAGCTGGAAAGGTCTTGGAAGGCCCTTGGCTTTCCCAGCACGTAGGGAGTCATATAAACTTTCACTTCAAGTAGAAAGTTCATAAATTAGGGGAAAGGTCAAATTCTGAGTTAAGACAGTTCCTTGCAGCAGCAGCAGCAGCAGCAGCGGCACCATGTTTATGACCGGAGAAATCATTTCTGTCATGTACCCACAAAAGTAGGAAATCTTAATGGCCATCAGGCTTGTTTTTGCAGGTGCTATGAGAGCTTGTAATGTTCTCTGTTGGGAACCATTAGTTGTATGGCCATATATTCCCTAAAACACAGGAGAGCAGACAGTGGTCCTCCTTCCCAGATCCCCCTCGCCCTCCAAGAGGTACTTCCCCATCCCTCTGGACTCGCTGGAGGAGGAGTACCGGATACGCTCGGCAGACGACGGCAAGCTCTTCAGAGAGGAGTTCAATGTGAGTTTGTGTGGTCTGACTAAGATCTTTGTCCTGCAAGCACAGAACAAATACAGAAAATAGTAATAAAATGTTATGTTGGTAGGCTGTCGACCCCCGGCTTTATTTTGATCTCACGAGTATTGGGGGGGGGTTCTTTCTTTATAGTCGCTGCCATGTTACTACCACCACGGGTCTTTTGAGGAGGCGAGCCGAGAGCACAACAGAGAGAAAAACAGATACCCAAACATTTTACCATGTGAGTGTCAGGATGTATTCTGCAGCACACAATATTAATGTAACCTTTAGACTGCAGTTTTATTGATCTCTAAATCGTAGGGTGATGTGGGCTGAATGAAAAATAAGCCTATTATTTACAGGATCTTTTTTCATCTCTCTTCCACAGATGATCATTCAAGAGTGCTGTTGAGTCATCTTGATGGACATCTGTGTTCAGACTACATAAATGCATCCTACATAGATGTGAGTCTTAGTAGCAATTAAGCTTGTAATATGGAAGATTCTTGACACATTTTCATTAATACCATGTCCATTCACACAGGGTTTTAAAGAGAAGAACAGATTCATTGCAGCTCAAGGTACATTTTTCTGTTTGCTTGAGTTTGTAATGAATGTTGAGCATTCTAGTTATAACCATTTGCACCTTATTTTAATACTTTTCTTGACGTTGCTTCAGGCCCAAAGCTTGAGACGCTGGCCGACTTCTGGCGGATGATATGGGAGCAGAAAACAGCAACTATAGTAATGCTGACGAATCTGAAAGAAAGGAAAGAGGTCTGTCTAAGTATTCTTCCTCTGCAATGCACTTTTCTAATTTGAAATAGGGTGTGTATAGATTTAACCTATTCAATCGATATGGCTTCAATTCACCATTAATGAAACCCTTTTGTATTCACATGACCCAAAGTCATGGGCATCATTTATTTGACCCCTTTTCCAACTGAGGATCCATACAAAGTGTCACCCAGCAGATTACTTAGCATCGCATTAAATTTAGCCTCAAAGGGATGATCAATTGAGAGCTCAACTGCGGGTTTGATAGGGCAGAATGGAGGCAATGGGGATCAATGACGGAATAATTGTTGATAAGATCCTAAGAGGCTCCATGATAATTAGTCTGAGATTGTAGTTAATGAGTTGAATCGTCAGTGTGAAGATCGTATTGACTGACAGAGTCGCACAAAGTCCTTGTGATTGCCTTTGGATTGGATTGGGAAAAATACGTCAAATACACATTTCTGTACGCACACCAATAAGATACACAACATACGCTGATCTCCAACCATTTGAGTTAAGAAAGTTACAATGAAAATACAGTGTTTTTTTCCCTTTTAAGGTGTATATTTTTCTTATAGTTATTAAAGACTGACCTCTTTCTTGTTCTTATTATGTTACCAGGACAAATGTTATCAGTATTGGCCAGAGAAAGGCTGCTGGATGTACGGGAACATCAGAGTGGCGATGGAGGACGTCACTGTACTGGTGGACTACACCATTAGAAAGTTCTGTGTTCAATATGTAAGTCAAATGTGTGGATCTACATATCAGTATGTTTATCATTTTGAAAAAGCTAATTTTTAACATGAAATCCCCTTTTTGTATTATTGTTAAACAGAAAACTGTGTCTCAGTTAGCAGCACGATTTCACAGCACGTCAGCAAAAAAGTGATTATACTGTGCAGCAGAAATAAGGACACAATAACACAATAAAAACAACCAAAGATTAAGCCTTTATTTAGACATACACATGCTATTAAAATAATAGTGTGCTTTTTCAATATTGTTCTTAATATACTCCTTAATTGCTATAAAAAAACCTATCATCATAACATCTAGATTCTTATTAAAAATTAAACATGAAACAAAGCTACATTGAGATGGTGTAGTTCCCCATGGAGACATTTTAGTAAACTATTATGAGATGCAAAATATCATAAATACATGGGAAATGGAAACAAATTAAAGGATGTATGTTATGGGCCCAGCATGAAAGTGTAGGTGTATTTAACATACAGTAAACACTACAAATGTCTCATCTTTAGAGGTTCATACAGCGCTCTCAGTGTCTGTAGTTCTCTCCGTGTGTTTTTGATGCTGCCATCTCAGCCAAGCCTTCAGATTGCAAAATTCACTTTGTTCCCTTTCCATTTGAAGCCGGAGAAGTGCAGATATCCTCTCTGACTCTGTGAAAACTGTGACTGCGGTATAGCGCTGCAGCACGAGCTGGCACACTGAGAGCTTTTACATCCTCTGAACACAGAGCATGAAGTTGTGTTCTCTTGAGAGAGCATTCATGAGTAGGAGAGCGAGGCAGAGGCAAACCAGTACACATGTTTAATAATTGTATTCCGTCACAAGTAGCGAAATGACAACAAAAGACAAATGATTCAGTACATTTGAGGGTAATTTTCCAGTAGGTAGCATAGTATATTTGACTGATGTGTGTCTGCACAGTGAGCATGCTTCATGCTCAGGTTTGTTTCTGTGCTTCGCAGCAGGGCAGCGACGGCCCCCGAGCTCCGCGCCTCGTCACCCAGCTCCACTTCACCAGCTGGCCAGACTTCGGGGTGCCGTTCTCGCCCATCGGCATGCTGAAATTCCTCAAGAAGGTCAAGACTGTCAATCCAACGTATGCTGGACCCATTGTTGTGCACTGCAGGTAAAATGTGTTGTAAATCAAAAGCCAGAAAACAATATATGACTATAATCAATCAGCTAAGGTTTTTATCGAGCACATTTTATACAGCAGGCGTGGACTTCATGTGCTTAAAAGAAAAAGTAGAAATAGGCGCAGATCATTTCTGACAAAAACATATATAATACAAAGAAATATGAGTGAACAAGGTATTACAATAAAAACAAGTTAAGAAGGAATGTTCACATTATTATAATCGGAATGATAATACTGATTCGAAAATAAGGATCTTACTAATAGCCCTACACTTTAAACTTAACTAAAACTTAGTGAAATAAAAGTGTTTTAATCCGCTTTTAAAAGTTGACAGCAGAATTTTTGTCCTGTAATAGAAAGTTGAAGTTGTACCATAAGGAGTGAATTTAGATGATTTATTCTCTCTATAGGAAAGAGACCTTTGCTTCAAATGTTCTAAGCGAGGAACACAAATGTAATTAAATACAGTGAAGAGAAGTTAATAAAAAGAGCTGCTTCATTTCATTATAAGAGACAAGAAAATACTTTGCGAATGATGAATTTCCCTATTTGCAAGAAAATCTATTCGCAAAACTGAAATTTGGTATGTGAAAAAATCAACAGTTCTTAAAACCTTCAACACAGTTTTGAGGTATAAAACACTAAAGATAAACTTATTTTGTATTTGTATCATGTTAGGTTTGGTAATGTTACTGTAGAGCTCAACTTAACTGTAGGTCAAGAGTATAAACACTGAATTGAAGCATAAATAAATATATACTGAAGAGTGCATATGTTATGTTTTCCTGGCCAATCAGTGCAAAGCCTCACAAAAGAAATCAGCAGCTCAGAGAGCAACTGCAGCAACAGGTGCTGGGGGAGAGGGCCTGTTGTTCTTGAATGGGGCCCATTGAGGAGCCCCTCGCCCGCTGTGGACGGCAGCTCTGCTCCCCGCGGAGCCGTCTGCTCAAACGACCTCAGTAAATCTATTAGGAGTGTGCTTCAGAGGTGAAGCACTTTTACACATGCTCATGCTCCAGGCTGTCCACAATTGACGTCTATGTTAAGAGAACAGGGATAGCTTGGCAATATATTAGAAGAAAGCAGAAGCATTTTTATATTTATATATAGTTATGTTGTGTTGTCAGTAGTTATATACAGAATAGTTTGAAGCTTCGTTCATAATGTTGATATCGAAGTTCTAAATTCACCGTCAAATGTTTCTATTTAGTTTTTTCCATTGTTTTATTTCTTTTCAAACCAGTTATTTATTTATAGTTAATCTTTTCCAAAATGCATGTCGTTATCTTAATTTGTTGTTTAGCTTGTTATTTTTGGTGTTAAGCCTTTTCCAAAAGTTTGCTTTCCTACTTCCTAACACTCACAGCGAAGTTAGTTTTATTAAAGAAAAGATGACTTGACAAAGAAAAAAAGATCAACTTGATTTGTCCAATTAATCACTTTATATAAATTGAGGATTTTAGTTTCAGGAATTTAAATTTTAAGTAGGGTTATAATGTCATAAAATATGATTTTTGCCTTCATTCGAAAACCCTAATAGAAGCTTAAAATAAAAGTAGAAATACATTTGTTTCAACCATTTGGTACATGTAATGTTCCTCTGTTGCTAAGGTTCTATGTGTGCTATACAGAAACAATATTGTTTCAAGTTCTTATCCGACACATTTTCTTTCATAGCTTCACTTTTGTCCGACCTTGTGCCTTCCCCTTGTTTGTGTTTCCTCAGTGCCGGGGTGGGGAGGACTGGGACGTTCATTGTCATTGACAGTATGATCGACATGATGCACATGGAACAGAGGCTGGATGTCTTCGGCTCTGTGAGCAGAATACGAGAGCAGCGCTGTCAGCTCATCCAGACAGATGTAAGTGTTGACCCTCTCCGGCCTGTGGTACACAGACTGACAGCTCCACTCTCTCTCTAGTGTTGGAGGCACAAACAAGAGAGGACACAGAAAAACAACCTCCTCTATGATACATGAAAATAGTAAAAAATAGTTTGGCAAACTGAAGCTACTTCTTCCACCTTTTCCTTGACTTCCTCTGTGTTCCCCCTCAGATGCAGTATTCCTTTATCTACCAGGCTCTGCTGGAGTACTACCTGTATGGAGACACGGAGCTGGATGTGTGCTCTCTGGAGGGCCATCTGCAGAGGCTTCACAACACCAGGGCTCCCCACGACAGGCTGGGCCTGGAGGAGGAGTTCAGGGTAGGATGAAAGAGGCTCACTCTCAGACATTTCAGTCAGTAATGAATCGTCCCCATCACCCTGCACCCTGCATGGTAGGAAAACTTGCCCAGGGTGCCCCCCTTAGCGGTACTAACATAAATAACAATGCTTTGTATCAACTAATACTTTATAAGAATCCCAACATCTTCCACACAGGAATTAATATAACGTGGTGAAATATTCAAATTTTTGTTCTCACAGTTCCGTACACTCTTACTGAAATGATTCCCTAATGCCTCCTCTTCTTCTTCTTTTTTCTTCATCTCTGAAAATACAAAATGTTTTTGTCCAGCTTCTGTGTTTTTAAAACTGTCCGAGTCATCATATTCATAAGCGTTGAGCTGCCCTGCACTGTTGAAAAACAAACCTTTCATCATGTCAATCTGCTCCTGCTTTCTCCTGACAGAAACTGACCAACGTCCGCATAATGAAGGAGAACATGAGAACTGGAAACCTTCCCGCCAACATGAAGAAGAACCGTGTGCTTCAGATCATTCCTTGTAAGGACTGCTCTGATACTAATCCATAATACATCACATCCCAGTAACATCAAAGTGCCACACTGCTGGTTATTTTTATAGATATACACAGATATCCGGCTAATCAGGATGACTATGATCAATGGCATTTAACTACAGCTTGTATCTTGACTGAAATGTGAGAGTAGAGTGGGAAAGGGAAATTGTGGTTACAACTTCTTTTACAGTGAAATCTGATATCAGCTCTGGCGCATTTGGCTTTAATAACACAGCAACATTTGAACTTAGCTGTTATTTTTTCCATCAGCCTTTTCAAACTTTTATTTTATTAAGAATCACTTATGGAAAGTTTTTATTTTTCCTTTTTTTCTTGTGCAGATGATTTCAACCGAGTAATGCTGTCAGTGAAGAGAGGACAGGAGTTCACCGACTACATCAATGCCTCCTTTATTGATGTAAGCACTCCCTCTCAACCTCCTGTATAGATTTCCCATAGAAGTATATATAAAGCTCATTGTTGCCTTTACAAACAATGCAAAATATTATGTTTGCTGCACTCTCAAGTGTTGTTTACCGGATGATCTGCCCTCCAGGGCTACAGGCAGAAGGACTATTTTATCGCAACCCAGGGCCCACTGTCTCACACAGTGGAGGACTTCTGGAGGATGGTGTGGGAGTGGAGGTGTCATTCAATCGTTATGCTCACCGAACTCAAAGAGAGGGAGCAGGTACAGTACGCTGCTCCTGCAAAAGTACAGGCTGGAAAGTGGAGTTGCACATTTAGAAAATCTCTTTTATTTCATTTTACTATTCTACCTATTTCTTATTCCTGACAGCCTGTGTATGTATTTAATAGTTTTATATTGATCCTGTGGTGCACACTGAAAACACAGAAAAAAGAATAGGACATTAATCAGTCAAATGAAGCCTGATTGTATTTCCATCTGACCTTCTCCACCAGGAAAAGTGTTTCCAGTATTGGCCATCAGAGGGCAGTATAACATTTGGAGATTATACTGTGGAGCTGACTGCAGACACACAGTGTGAAACCTTCACTCTCAAAGACATGGTGCTCACCTACAGACCAGTGCGTAACATTTTATTCTAACCTTTAAAAGCTGAATTTCAATTCCCCTATATGCCTCCCTGTCTACTTTATTCTATCAGTTTAAAATGCATGAAATGTCAATATATCTAGCATCTTTAGCTGCATTAAAATAACAGAGAAAGCACTCTATCTCACCAGGAAAAGAAGTCGCAACACGTCCGACACTTCCACTTCCATGGATGGCCTGAGATCGGAATACCGGCTGAAGGAAGAGGGATGATTGACATTATTGCCGCTGTACAGAGGCAGCAGCAGCAGTCTGGAAACCGTCCCATAATTGTGCACTGCAGGTGCGGAAATTCACTTCTGATAATTTTGCTGCATGTGTATCTGTAGATGAACATTTTTACAGACATGGTATAAATGTTTCTGTCCGCCCGTGTTTTTTATTCCAACCCTTTTTCTTTTATCACCTAAATCTTTTAGAGGGATATTGGAAGGAATTACATTTTTACAGATACATTTTTCTCTCAAACGCCTGTTACAATAAATTGTACAGTTTGCCTCAGTAGACCTGGTGTTCTATGCCTAAACCACTTATGTGATCCCTTATAAAGACTTAGCTGTGAAAGCTTTGATCAGAACCTAGCTTCAGGTGAAGTGATTCTAAAGCAGCACACCCCTGTGGGATTGATCCAATCCACTGATTCACAGTCAATTAAAACCTCTCAAAGTGAAATCTCCTCTGACTCCCACTATGATTAATCTGATAAGATGAGCTAACGACAGGAAATGGTGTCATCACTCTCTTCTATTCCTTCATCACCACTTGTCTAAGAAGGGCTTTTTAAAGCTTTTCCTCTGCCCCTGGGAAACGGGGCTAACCCGATGCAATCCCCAAAGTCTCTCTACACTTCGCTTCCGAATCACACATCACTCTCACACTCGCTCCCCGTCTCTCTGTGTCTTCCTCTCTCCATCCCACCATCCTTGTAAACATTGACTCAGTCAAACACTGAGCTTCCAAACTGATTAGTGTTAGCGTTTGGATTAGCCTTTCTTTAAGTGGGGATGATTATTAGGACTATTACACAAAGGTCACCTTTTCTCTTGCAAACTTTTTAATTCAAATGGGAAAAAAAGCATCTGCTGCAAGGATTACAAGAGATTCATTGCAGCATTCTTTTTAAGAAATGTAGAAGTAGTGAGAATTTAAAATATTCTTATTCTGAGCTATATTTTAAATGATCTGTAGTTCTTCTGCAGCAAGGCAACCCATTTTCAAGGCCGTCCAGTGTGTGCAGAATGTGATGTGGTTGCTAATGTTTTTGTCCTTCATGTTTCAGCGCTGGAGCGGGTCGGACCGGTACCTTCATTGCCCTCAGTAACATTCTGGAGAGGGTGAAGGCTGAAGGCCTGCTGGACGTTTTCCAGACCGTCAAGAGTTTACGCATGAAGAGACCACACATGGTCCAGACTGTGGTGAGTAAAAGAGATCCTATCAAACCTACTGTGCAGAATCCGTCAGCTTATTCACATTTGTGTTGTTTGGAACTATTTCTATTTATGCAAAGTAACACTATTTTATCCTGCTTTTTCTTCCAGGAGCAATATGACTACTGCTACAGAGTGGTTCAGGATTTTGTTGACATTTTCTCAGACTACGCCAATTTTAAATAATACCTGTCAAATTAATGTAGGCATTTCCCTTTCCTGAATGTTGTTTTCTAAAGCAAGCTCTTTTTACACTTTGCACTTGATTACAGATCTAAACAATAACTGTAACATACTGTAATATAATGGAAAACATCTGTACTCCAGGAGAGTATGCCTCTGTCAGGAATGCTTGATCGTCAGGCTTCCAGTGTAAAATATGGTAATTATAGTGGTTTATGGTACGGTTGGGTTCTTTGATATGTATGTTCTGCTTCAGTTTTATGTTGCATATGTTGCAACAGTGTGAGGGTCAATAAAGGAAACATTCAAAGATTGTATTTCACTTAATCTATGAAGATATTGTATACTGTATATATTGTATTTATTGCTAAATACCTAATTACATCTCATCTGTTGTGGAAAACATGCATTTTATTTTATTTCTGCTTAATTTGTCGCTGGCAACAATGCCTGTTTTTTACATTAGTGTTGTTTGATTGCTATGAGGGGAATACATTGTGTGTTTGATAAGTATGGTAAATATAATTACTGCTTTTGCTAAAATAATGTCTTGTGTGACATGTGTGAATTATATTTATAATCTACTTTGAGCTCAAACAAAAACACAAGACTCAAGATACATTTCGTTCTGTTAGACGCTGCACATTTTCTCACTTCTGTCTATGAATAACTAAACAGCTGCTGCCTGTTGCAATTTTATTCAACTTCACCAACTTTCTTGTGTTGCCCATGGCAATATTACTTAGTGGATCGGTGCCTGACGCTGCAAAATGCAATTAGCCCACATTGGAACAGGCAGAAAAAAATGGATTATAACATCCCAACGTATCTTTCTACGTACGTAATGTTTTACAGCCAATCATGACATCCTTCCCTTTTTATACACATTTACATTTCCACTTTCCACTTGCATGTTTGCATTAAGCCATATTGATTAGAGAGACATTTCTAATCATGCAAAACTTGTCACCAAGTGACGCAATTTTAATACAAACAAGCCAGATGATTTTTGTTTTTATTAGACACACTTTTAAAAATGCATTGTTTTCAAATAATGGTTTACTTTATGAATCATGAATTCATTATTTGTACAAACACTTCTCAGAAAATTAAATGTACCATAGCTTAAGTTAAAGTGTGAAAGATATGAAGAAAAACAGAACATTTGAGTTTTATTTAAATATGAGATGTAGTTGAACCTTGTCTGGACAAGTATAATGAAAGAGCCAGTGTAGAGCTAAAATAGGAAGTATGCATGCACAGGCATTATGACATGTTTTGAGTGGTAGTACGTTTGGTATTTAAGGAAACCCCAACATTGCTGCTAAATCAGAAGCATATATTTTTGCAAGGCTTCTGCTTACTTCTTTATAAAACAGTAAGCTTGGTTTGGGTGAACAACTTTCTACTGTTTATACATGAAACACTGATCGTTTATGTTTATTTACTGTACATAATGTATCGTTGTGATTATTATCCATCACCAATGTTAACTGCATTGTTAACTTCATTGTATTAAATGTCCATGCTGAAAGAACAAGAAATAAGGGGAATGACAGTGAGGCCTTGCAGCTGATGAAACATAAATGCATGGGCACCTTGTTTCAGTGATGTTTCTGCCTTTTTGAATCTGTATGGATACTATTTGTTTGATAAAAGCTGATTCCAATAAATTATAGATGGAGAGAAATACCAGATTTCATCCTAATGTTGTCTTTTCATCTGCTCCATACACAGATGCGTTCGATACAAACACAATGATGTTTCTGATATATATTTCATGCTTTCTGAACCCTCATGGTGACGCCAGCATATTGGAGCACTTAGCCAGGTCCATTAGCAGTATTTTGTGTTCCATTAGTCGGTAAATGTGTCACACCTGCGGAGAGGGGGATTATAATCCTGACGGCGTCTCCTTCAACACCTATAAAAATCCCCCTCTGGCTAATGCGCCACATGCAAACAAAGCCAATACAGAGGTGAGTCAATCCACAATGAAGTGTGTTCAATTTTTATCAAGTTAGACTCGCTCCTCTTGGTAATTACTGTCTGAAGTACTCTTTGCTAATGTTGGTCATTGCTTTGTAACCCCCGGTCTGAGAGAAGCGGCTGTGACATTATTGTTTTTATTACTAATGTGTGTCCCTCTGCAGCTGTAATGGAAGCGAGCAGTAGAGTGATGGTGCAGGTGTTGATGTTGGCGTTGGTGATGCAGGTCACCCTGTCCCAGCACTGGTCCTATGGGTGGCTACCTGGTGGAAAGAGGAGTGTGGGAGAGCTGGAGGCCACCATCAGGGTGAGTGGTTTTTAATGTGGATGAGTCTAACAGTTTGAGCAAATGTGGTGTCTTGAAGGGAAAATCTCTAAAATGTTTCAGTTTAGCTTCTTTTTTGTAAATGTTCTTTTGGATTCAGATTTCTAACCCACCTTGGTTTCATTGTGTTCAGATGATGGGTACAGGAGGAGTGGTGTCTCTTCCCGATGAGGCGAGTACCCAGACCCAAGAGAGGCTTCGACCATACAATGTAGTAAGTGCTTATTATACATAATTTATCACCAATGTCTACTTCAATTGTACAATATTAATGTACAGTACACCACTGTGGGCCATTGTGTTCCCAAGCAGCAATGACAATATACAAACTGCTCCAAAGACTGTTTTTATTTCCCCCTTTTTGCATGAGTGAAAATGTGAATGCCTAATTTTATGTTTTTGAATGATGGCAGATGTGATGCGTATTTCCTTGTTTGCTATCCTATGTACAAATGAAGATTGAAGCATTTGTTGGATTAAATATTTAAGCAGCCGATGAAACCGTTAACTGTGATTTAATTTCAACCTCTTCAGATGAATGACGATTACAGTCATTTTGACCGAAAGAGAAAGTTCCCTAATAATTGAAGAGCTACAAAAAAAAAGAGAGAAAAGAAACACGGACTGTATTTGCATCTTCATCAACACCGGTGAAGGATCGCAGGAGACTGACTTTAAAAAAACATATTGCACAGATGAATTGAAATCTATGTCTGTAAGATTTACATTTAAAATTGTAATAAAGATTTTGGACTCTGATGAAATGATCAAATCTTTTTTATTTAGTTACATTGTAATCTAACCCTGTATATGTGGTCATAAGAACTGAAATGATGCTATTGAAATATAAAATGCAATTTTAAAAAAAGAGCTTTTTAATAGATTAAATTGCCTTTGTAAAGCAGGCACGACCGACAAGCATGACAAACTTGTGACACAACAATCTTAGCATGACAACAGCTGGTGATTAAGGCCAATTTATTAGAAATCAATGACTTAATTGAATTTGTTACAGTTTTGCTAATTCCATTTTCTGCCACACCAGTCATGTGCATATGTGATGTGGAAAATTACACCAAATGATTTTTTGTGTTGCTACCTGAATGTTGATTAGCCCCCCCTACATGAAAGACAAAACATGTTCGGCTTGTGATGTCCACAACAGCTTTCTGTAATTTAGGAGAACTGCAGCCATCCAAAACAGAAAGGGAATAAAACTTTTTTTCCCCTCCCTCCACTCCGTAAAAGAAATTGGTGTTCATTATAAAAATTGGAATTTCATATCAGGAAAGGAAAGGAATCAGCAGGGGGCATATGTTTTAAAGAGAACTCATTTTCTGGCAAAGCCCCACAGACAGAGCACCATACTAATCGCCTGGTGCATAAGGGGCCAGGATTCATGAACTGTGCTGACACCGTGGAGGCCCTGCATTGTTCGAGCGTGGTTGTAATGCACGCCAATGAACCCAAACCCGCTGGCACAACTGGGAAAAGGTGAACATTATAAAAGCACATAGAATTAAAAAGAAATTAAACCACATTCCAATGCACTTCCAGAACAATGCTTGTTCATTTGTGATACTTCACATCGTTGGTTTAATATTCATGGTTGTAATTTGCATAACACAATCATTTCCTTTGATGAGGAAAGACTTTTTTTTTAAAGTACTATATTTCTACTTGACAAAGTTACAGAATAACATCTTGTCTTGGTTATTTTCTTCTGAAAGTGAAAAGGAATAGATGTATTCCTCATCTTAATGGGGTTTTCAATATTGCATCATCCTCATAAAGGATAATTGTGCTTTTATAACTTTCCTAAAATATAGTTTTAATTCAATTTGGTATACTAGAGTGTGAGAATAATTAATGTTTACAGATAGAGCATTACATTCCATGAATTCCCTTTAAATAATCCCTAAGTGTTTGCTATGAAAGCCAACTTTCTCCCTCCCAGTGTCCTCATCAAGGACCTTCCTAATTGCACGTATATCAGGACAACAAAACCTGCTGGTATCTATGTTTCCAAATTTGATTTAACCTCACTTTCTCCTTCCCGGACCCCCTGGTGAATATTCACTTTGTTTACCTCAAATTAAACTTCATATTGTTTACAGCCTCCAGGTCCCTGAACATTTTATAGCATTTTAGAATTATTTATTTATTTTCTGTAATGATTGTAGAGTTGGGATTCATTTGAATGTTTCCCTCATCTGCATGAAAATTATATAATTAACTTTTGATTAACCAGCTCAGTTGAGTTGGTTCCCCCATGCACACTGGTGAATAGTACCCACCGCATTTTAATGACTGTTTTCCAATTGAGTGGCGACCTTTTCATCAAAGAGCCACAACTGGGGCTAAACAACGGTAGAAAATAATCACGGTGGAGACAATGGTAGAGGCCGACTAGGCTAGGATGTCATCCTTAAATATAACAAAATAGATTAAAGCAACCTTAGTGCACGTAGTGGCTGTGGCGAGAAGCCAAGTGCTCGTGCTCCTGGATGCCCCATTGTTAAATCTGTGGAGGTCACGTCCACTGGCATATAGAGAGGGAAAGCACAGGAAGCCGAGAATGGCCCATTGTTACGTGTCCTTGCTCAGAGGGAATTCTATTATGAAGGGCAATACATATTTGATACTTTGATTTTTATGCCATTCATTTGTTTGAAAAACAGAACATATTTGGATAATGACTTCAGGAAAAAGGGGGTCTCAGAGCACCTCCATCCAAGGCCACAGCGCTGCGTTAACACACCTGCCAATCAAACGAAGCGAGCAGATGTGCATCCTCGCACAGCCCACCATCAAATAAGCATTCTATCATATGCATAATATAGTTTTCATTTCATCACGATTATGCTCCGTGCGCCATGTGTATGTTTCTGATGGGTCATAGGAAACTTTTATTGAAGCAGAGTGTATAATAAAGTCATTTTCCAGGTGCTTGTTGTGGCTCTTATTATGAACAGAATGATAATTTCCCCTGGAGGAATCTGGCCCTGCATATCAATTGAAGTTTAGTGTGGGTCTTACTATGTTCCCGCAGGCTATAGTAGAAGGCAAAGTCATCTTCAGAGAGAGTCTAAATGTCAGGGAGGTCTTCAAACACTTTTTCTCGCAGAGCCTTACTGAAAAGACTCTTTGGAAGTGCTATGTCTTAGAATTGATATGGTGGAGGTGAGCTAAACAGGGACGCAGAAGGCTTAATGTAAAGCGGTTGACATGAAATTTAATTGGAAAAAATATGTAAAACAAACTAAGCAGAGGGTCAGGGAAGAAATCAAAATAGGACTGCTCTTCTGCTTTCTGATGTAAAGTGTTTTCTCTCAGCGCTGCTCAGTAACTGCTGCGTCATATCCTCTCGTCTCCACATGGTGACACTCTTGAGCTGCGTGGTTTGAATCTGCTTCTGGCTGTCGAGTCTATCAGCAATTCCTTCATTTAAGTTTTCAAAAACTGTTATTCCTCTAAATCTAACAAAGACTTCAATCAATCATCTTTAACTCTGGGAATCAAAATGTTAATTTTCCTGCACGCTGACTGATGGAGTTTGTGTTTATAACAAAAAGTATTTTGTACAATTTTGCAGCAGAACTGCACAGGCCTGAAACCAAGCTCATTGTGAAATGTGAAACAATTCAGATTAAAACATTTGATATGTAGAAATTCATGAATTTCTTAAGTGTTTTTAGTTTTGCATGTGCAAGGCATTGATTTGTATTATTCCATTATTTTTGGTGAGTGAAGTTAAAGTCAGCTATACGGTAGCATGTACAGTCTTGGCTGGCAGAGAACCTTCCTGTTGTGATCCGACTTCTCTCCTTTGATCAAAGAACAGTGTTAAAGCACTGGGAGAAGGAGGAGGTATGAAATATGAATGAATACAGCTGTGTTTTGATGGATATGTCTCAAAGTATCCCAGTAAGAGACTGCTAAAGGCCAGGAAATCTGTTTGTGTTGTGGAAATAGGCTCTTCCTCGCCTTTTCTTTACCAGCTTCATCTTGGGTAGCTTTTCACTTCATATTTTAGAGATCCTTTGTTAGGAGAGAGATCAACCCCTTATCCATGCATTTGTAGGAAACTGTTCTAAGAGGCCCTAGTTCATAATATATATCATTAATGACACCATTTCCTTTGTTTGGTCTTGAAACCACCTTTTGATCGAAAAGCGCCAGCCATGAGAGAAGGATATTTATTATTTTTCTGGGGTAGACCCAAAGTTCTCACAGATGGAGCGAGATCTTCTATGAGGTGATGGAGGCTTTGTCACTAGTTATGTCTGTGATTCCATTTCCTTTTCTAAAACCCCATCGGGGAGCTGTGACTCATTTTGAAGTTGGAAGTTGATACTGTGGTGTAAAACTAACGTTCCCATC